TTCATTTGTCTTTCAGCACCACAGTTGCTGTGACAACAGCAGGAGGGGGCGGTTCCCCCCTGAGGGTGGCATCTCCACCTAATTCCACAGCAGGAGGGGGAGGGGCCAGCTCCACATCTTCCCCTCTTCACCAGGTAGATCGTTCAACAGTTATACAATGTGGACACACGCAGAAAGGAAATGTATTTTGTGATAATAGACTATAAAATGAGAAGATTTTTATGTGAAGCATACATTTAAAGTCCATTAAAATTACCACGGGTTATACAATATTATAATGAATGCAAATGCAACTGCACTTAGTGGAATATAAATTCACTTCTGCAAAGTGAAAGGACTTTAGACAAGTGCTATATAACTGAATGGTGTCGCACACTAATGCTTAGAAATACTTATTATTTTGATTGTGGGAATGTGTCATATCCAGTTTGTATGTACATAAGGTTAAAGCTGGGTTAGCTTTCTCCTCACCTCTTTCACAGTGGCTGTAATCACAGATTGCTTGGAGGAATTTAGTTATTGTATCCATTTTGTACATATTATATTACTGTTATACATTTACATTACAGTTTAACTGATTCTACAGTAGTGATTATGTTTTTCTAAACGATTGAACAGATGTGTAATTGTTAGTTGTGTTATTTGTTGTAAGTGTAATTTTATGACACTGTGTAGTTATACAGTGCATTAAAACCATATGGCTGGTGTTACTATTATATTATTTACATTCTACCAGATGTTTGGTCACACAAATAATAACACAGGGCAGCTGCAGGGCAATTCTTTTTAGTTAGATATTTTGATTTTTGTGTAAATTACATCCTTGACTCTAAAATGATTGGATATTTGCATTTATACACCCTTTTCCAAATGTTTTGCATTTGAACAAAGCCAATTTGGCAATGTAAACTTAAAAACATGTCAGTACAAAAACTTTTTATCCACACCAATCAAACTGAAACACGAGCCATGCCCGCTGTTACATATTTGGCTGCCACACTCAGTATTCTTAACTATTCAATCCAGCAACTCTCGTCTCTGCAGATGAGTTCAGGCATAGGGAGCTATGCAACTCTGTCTCCCAAACGACTGGCAGCTCATCACGCTTCTGACCAGTACAAGATCTCCCACGAACTCTACGCTACTGCTACACTGCAGAGACCTGGAAGTCTGGCAGGTGGGGGTTGACACATTCATGCACTGTCGTGTAGAGTTTCATGTGCTTGCACAAAACATAAACCCTCCAAAATATGTAATCCGTATTAAACTAAGTATACTATGAATACTAAGGGGATATAAGTAAATCGCTCACAGTGTATCTTCGATTGTCTGTTTGTGCTGCAGATGTAGTATCTCGTATCAGTGGAGCATTTGTAGTCTAATTGTTACATTTCATTGCATCACACTGCTGTTCTTAGAAATGTCAATTGCTATGTTTAAATCTGTTGAATTAGCCGGTCTATGAAAAAGCACATCGCTGTGCTGTGGTTGATATCTCAGGCTATACTTCAAAGGAGGCATCGGTGTCTCTGAGGCTGCCCGTTAGAAAGTTTAAACTTTAGAATTAATATACTAAGCTATCAGCAGTTATATTTGAGAATTATGAGCTATTTCACTCACAACTGTGTACCTGCTTTAAGAATGACTTAAAATTATTAAAATTCCTAATTATGTCTTCCAATACGCATGTCCAATAGCTGGGTGTAGGGAAGGACACTGATCTTAGTGCAGCCAGTTCTTAAAAGTACCAAATGGATTTAGATTAAGATACAATCTGTTTGGCGTTTCCCAGGGTTACATGTACTAAAACTGGTGTCAAAATATCTATAGACCCAACTGTAGGTCTATAAATATTGACATTGCTTTCAATACACTAGGAAATGATTTATCTTCTTCTTGATCTGCTGTGTTTTTTTCTTCTTACTGACTTCAGAAAGGACATTTTGTAGTTTAATTGTAACTGTGAGTGAAGTAAGGAAAAGGTTGTTCTTGGTGACTCTGCTAGAGCATCCTTTGCCATGGACATTTTTTCCTGTGTGTATTTTGATTTTTTTTTCATCAAAAAAATGAAACAAAAAATAAAATAGATGAATATTGATTGAACCATGCTACACGGAGTAAGTTTATTTGATTAGTTCTTTAAACTTAGAGCTACGGTGATAGGAACATGACCTTCATGGTTTACCCTGAGGGTGCAACTGTGATCTTGACGCATTGCCTCAGGTTCCATGTCTCCTGAAGGCTTTAAATGGAGTAGAAAAGAAAGACGTGAGCAGGAGTGGACTGGGGAAATAAAATTAACGCAGTTTGCTATCATGTGCATAGACTATCAGATTGTCGTTGATTGCATGAGGGCAATTTAATGGCAATTCATGCTGGCAATGCACTATGTTTTATTTCACCTGTAAGGTCTGATAGTTACCACATTTTCAAAATCCTACCAAGCATGAATTGTGTGTAGATAGTGTTACTCAGAAAATGGCTTATCGGAGTGGATGATGTGCTCCTAGGAAAAGCACAGTAGAGTTCATCTGAGTAGCATGTTTGGAGAGGTACTTAGCAGCTTCACAGCTCCTACTCTATGCCAGAGTTAAGCTGCGTACAACAGAAATTGCCTAAAAAAGACGTTTACTGTCTGTGCTTTTTGTATGAAGGGCTGGTGTGATATAGTTCACTGGGTCTAAATATTGCCATGGTAGCAATGCAGGATAATATATGCAGCATACAATATATAATGTGTGGTTTGATGCGGAGCTTTATTGGCACTGAAAATAGTTGCTGGTTAACATTGGAAACTCAAAGCTGTGGAAATTCAATATATAGTTTTGTTCTGTTTTTTTAATTTATGCTCCTCAGAAAAAATGTTGTAACAGTCATCTTTAATATTAAATCTGCCGTTGAGAACTATACTACCATTCTTGGTGGAATTACAATATACAGGTGAATGAGCAGCTCCTTGCTATATTTTTGTAGGTAAAAATGTAGTTTGCTCTATTTTTTACTAAACAGGCAGGACTGTAATTCACCAAGGAGCCAGAGTTGGGTTTGGCATGTTGTTATTCATTTTAAATATTTTACTGAATAAAACATCATATGAGTGGCTCTCTCTCACTCTCTACATCATTTTTGTCATTTTTGTCTTAAAGTTCCACTTCCTCTTTAAAGAAAGAGGTCAGTACTTCCATGAGTGGGCCCCCGTGAGCCAAAGAGTAAATGTATAATGAAATAAAACCAACTCACCAAGACTTCAAAGATGAAAGGCACTAGAGGAAGCGAAAGAGCTCAGATGAGTCATGCTGTTAATGGGTGTGTCCACGACTCTAATTAGTATTCTTTTATGCATATTCTCATATTGTCTTTCAGTCCTGTAAAATTCACTGTATTTTCACCTGGGGTCCACGGCAGTTCTAATGTCTGTTCTTCCAGTATCTATTATTCTTTTTTCTTCCCTTATGCTGACACCCTTGTCCTCTTGCTGTTTGAGTTCACCATCTGGCTACAGCTGGCCAGTAGAGTATGAAGGGATGCAGCCAACCTTTCATAGGCTTGGGAGGTTAACAGGCCAGTCAGATAACCACACAGCTGAAAGAAGGACAGAGTTGAGGTGCAACAGCGGTTTATCATCTGCCATAATAGTAAAGAAATAGGATAATAGGTTGTCAAAGGAGCTTGCAAAGAAAAGCGTCTGGACTTCTTTAAGTTACTTGAAGACGTTTCACCTCTCATCCGAGAAGCTTCTTCAGTTCTAAGGTCAAATGGTGGGGAGTCCCAGATTTAAACCTAGTGGGAGTTTCCCCCCACAGAGGGAAAAAAGGACCCCCTGATGATCCTCTAATCACCTGAGAGGTTTCACCTGTGAAAATGGGTGTGGGTCCCAATCAGCCAGAGTTTCGGGTGAGCTCATTGTGAAACCTGGCCCCACCTTATCATGCGAATTCCTGAGGTCAGATGGCCCAGGATGTGAGTGGGCATTAAGGCGTCTGGGGAGGGAACTCAAAACTGGATTATAGATGGCAGACAGTTGGTGTTGTAAACCACCGCCTCTGTTCAAAGATGGTCGCTCACAGTGGACATAGATGGCTTTTTTCACTCCTCTTTCAAACCATCTGTCCTCTCTGTCCAAAATGTGAACATTGGCATCCTCGATCCTTAAGATGCAGATGGACTGCTGAGTCTTGTCCTGTGGAGGTGGCTCTTCTATGTTGTGCCATGCGCTTGTGAAGTGGCTGTTTGGTCTCTCCAATGTAGAGGTCTGGGCATTCCTCGCTGCACTGTACAGCATGCTTACGACACCAACTGTCTGCCATCTATAATCCAGTTTTGAGTTCCCTCCCCAGACGCCTTAATGCCCACTCACATCCTGGGCCATCTGACCTCAGGAATTCGCATGATAAGGTGGGGCCAGGTTTCACAATGAGCTCACCCGAAACTCTGGCTGATTGGGACCCACATCCAGTTTCACACCTTGGCTCAGGCGGTTAGAGGATCATCAGGGGGTCCTTTTGTCCCTCTGTGGGGGGAAACTCCCACTAGGTTTAAATCTGGGACTCCCCACCATTTGACCTTCGAACTGAAGAAGCTTCTCAGATGAGAGGTGAAACGTCTTCAAGCAACTTAAAGAAGTCCAGACGCTTTTCTTTGCAAGCTCCTTTGACTACGATGACCTGGATGACTGAGAACCTTCACAGACAGTATAATAGGTTATTGTTCATTCTTCGGTGTGCATATATTTAATCCTACTTAGATGGCAAAGTATATTAATATGCATTGATTTCTGATATAACCTGACAGATTGAGGTATTTGACTGTGTTACATTGATGATGGATTCACATGGAGGTTTGAATCTTCGTGCACTGGCCCATCATCCCGTGTAACTTTCTTGGCATGCGACTTCAAGTGCACTGAAAACTATTGTAATATGATATGACATTAGCTCCACTGGACCATCTCAGTCACTCATAGCTTTCTAACTCAGTGTATGTATGAATATTTATGTCTTTTTATTTCTATCTCGCACCATGTGACCTAAACCCTCCCATATAAACCCATATTCCCCCACTTTGCTACTTTTCTACCCTTGCCTAATTTTAATTTTGGGCCTCCTCGTCTTCATTGGGAGGCCCCTTGCCTTACATTTGTTCTGCTGTGTAATGAACAAATGCCTGCTGTCAATGTTTCCTTGCCATGTTTTTTTCTGTGGGACTCCTGCCAAACACAGAGCAAAGGAGAGAGGGGGAAGGGGGGGTTGCATCTCATTATTTTATAGCTGCCGAACAGCAATGTGTTCCATGGAGATTAAAAAAATTAAATGCAGAGGCATCACTCCCTGTTTTCTGTCTCTCTCAATCTGTATATTTCTTCTTATCTCATTTGTTGCTGCATATGTCTCTATTTTTTTCTCTGCTTTTGATTTGCTTGAACTATAACTCTCTCACTTCCTTACCAGTCGTACAAACACAGACAGACGAACACACACACACTACCAAACCCTTAGTTGCTCAGAACGACTTTGTTTACAGCATCCTAATTATCCCACAACACTAGTCTACATCAGCGTAGGTGAAGAATGGCAATGGACAGTTCTAAAATTCAAATAGACTTGTTGCCGCATATGCTTCTATATTTTCCTTTCGTTTAAATACCATATCCACATTTATGTCTTTAGTTTACCTCTCTTTTCACATGTCAAATACTTCCATCCTTTTTGTTTCTAACCTGCTCATCTTCTTTTCTCATTTTCTACCTTTCACTTTGTCATTCCTTTTTCACTGTGTTGTACTCACATCTTTTTACTTCCTCTTTCTTCACTCTAGGTTCTCGTGGCTCCTACAGTAGTCAGCATAGTCAAGAGCCCCTTCGGCCTCTGGGGTCCCCAGAGCACCACATAGATCCGATCTATGAAGAACGTGTCTATCACAACAAGGGCCCCATGAGAAGCCTTAGCCAGAGCCAGGGCCCAGACTCAGGGCCCTACCGCAACAACACAGGTAAGGCAGTCATTGCATCAAATTGTATCATCAATGCAGTTTCATGTTTTGTTTTGTTTCTACTTCGTGTGGCTTAGACGTTTTAGAGTTTAAGCCCTGAACTCTGAAACTGTGTTTAAGGCAAATAAACTCAGTCATCTCTGACAAGTGACTAAGACTATGTTATGGAAAACAAGGGCAACCACTTTCTCTATAAAGTGTATGATACAACAGTAGTACACAAATTAGACTCACAGAGGCAAAAAGCATTTAGTGAAGGAGTAAAGGTAGGTAAAAAAAAATCCAAGTTTTGACCTTGATGGTGACTGTAACCAGCTGTAATTTAAAACTGTGTTAGATTTAATCCATTTGTATTTTCAGTATTCACATGTTCAGCAGAAAGGAAGTGCGCTATAGTCACATAGCCTTGGAATAGCTGCTGACTAGGAGAAAGAGAAAAAGTTACAGCCACACAGAGGTCTAGTGTTGAAGATCAACTGGTATAGGGTAAATCAAGGTGCTGGCTTTTGGAAAAGCACAACGTTGCATTTCAGTGGCAAGCTTTTTATATGAAATGTTTTGGAGGGAGATTCAGAAAAGCAGCTAGCCAATCCAAAGAGGGTCTCGTTCTTATTGGTTAGGTATTGGGCTTGTTTGTGTGGCTCTCTGGCCTTAATTTTGTTTTCAGTAGGTAAGAAACAGGCTGAAGTTGAGGTGAGTTGAAGTACTGATTTAACTTCTGTGAGATATATCTATAGGACAAAAGCAAAAAAAATAGTTCTTTATGGGCTAAACCTGATGTCACATTATAATCATAACTTGTCCCTGACTGAGAGTGGGCATTTCAACCTTCTCCCACTGAGACCTGCGGTCTCAAACTTGGAGATGCTAATTCTCAATTCTGCTGTTTAACACTAAACTAAGAACCACTCCAGTGCGACCTGGAAGCCATCACCTGATAATGTGAACAGAATTATATCATCCACTAAAAGCAAAGACAAGATCCTGAGATTACCAAAGTGTAGTCAAACAGATACCTCAATCTGAGTTATCCGTCTCGTTCCCAGACTCAGACGAGATCCTCTAAGTATTCCATCCACCACCTGATTATATACCCACTTGAAGTCAGCAGCACCCCACTCCCACTGTACCTAATGTGAGCAGAGCACTGCTTCCTCCTCTTGAGGCATCTGACGGTTTGCAAGAATTGTTTTGAGGTAGACCAAAAATCTTGTTACATGGCCTCACCAAACTCCTCCCACACCTGAATTTTTGCTGGAGCCAGAGCCACACCGCGCTTGTTACCTGCCCTCAGTCCCACAGGCTAACCAAGCTCAATAGGACCCATTCTTCAGCTTGACTGCTTACTTCACCACCATCCACCATCTGGTTCAGACACTGTAAAACCATGAAACAGATCAACTACCCTGTGGCCACAGGTCCGTGCAATCACCTCAATGAAGGTGCAGAACATGTCTCCCGAGTCTCCCTCGGAATGCTGTCAAACTTCTGCCGGAGGTAGGAATTTAAGATCTGTTAGATGTTCCCACCACACCATCATAATACATTTGGCTGTGCCAGCCCTGCCCACTAACTTCCCCTTCCACCTGATCCAACTCAGCCAGTTGGTGATCAGTTTAGAGCTCAGCTCCTGCTGATATTCTCTGACTGTTAGAAATGCTCCATTTAAAATTACCCTCCATGCTATTTCCTTCATGATCACTCTCACTTTTCTTATGCTTTAGTAATGTAACCAAAAGTTGTGGAAATTTTCACTAAAAACACTATTCTGATAGTTCTGACCTACTTAAACCCTTGAGTATACGACTAGAAATTATACATAAATTATGGCTTTTCCCTCATTCATTGTTTTTAACTAGCATTAGGCTCTGGTGATGGATAAGCCAATATGATTGTCTTTTATGTGTTATTGTTCCAGTTGATTTAGGTTCAAATCAATTGAATGTATTAAGGCCCTTTCACAAAGAGAGTTACATTCACTGCTCTGCCTGCTAGGCTAAGTGAAGGTCCCAAATATGTGTTGTGCAATCTGTGTATGTCTTTTTTCTTTCTGCGCCCAGTGATGTGTATGTGTATAATATGTACCCACTTCATGTCATTCCTCATTTCTATTGGTCATGCAAAGACTGCACTCCAACACTGCACTGTGCTTTGCTTGACGCCATGGTAAATTGTTCACGGATGGCAGAAGCAGTCATTGTATGAGAGAGTCATTTAATGTGAAGTAACTGGCCTAATTTGAAAATCTAAGGACTTGAAAGTAGAAATATATATTGTAGAGATAGATGTAGCCACAGTAAAAGTAAAAAGCTCTCAGAAAAATACATACTACACATATAGATACCTAAAAATTCTCCTTAAATACCAGTACATCTCAGAATACATGTCCATATTTGAGCAAGGCCAAGATGGTTCACAACAAAGAACAGTCCTTGATTTTGTAGATGGCATTTTTAAGCCCATTGGTGTGTTTCTGCTCAGGAAGATCAACCTATATATGTCTTAAAAATAAAGTGTAACTTCAACAGCTTTTCCATAGTTTAAAATATAAGAATTGATCCTTGAATAGTTTATGATATCCACTATTTTTCTGCCACACACTAGGCAAATAATGCATTATACATATGCATATGCTGCAATTAACTTCTGTAATGAGACAATATATGTGTTCTCTAGTATCTAAAGTTGTTTTTAATCAGTCACCAAGCAAAAATAATACTTGTTAACCAATGTCAGAACAACTGAGATACCTTTGCACTGAATATATCAACCCTCGTCAGTGCCAGTTTTCTTTTCTACAAAGTGAATGGTATGTTGTCTAGTTGGTCCAGTGAATTTCTATCAAGTCTAGAGCCAAATGAAGATAATGCTTTATGAAAAATAAAGAGTAAGTGGCATAGAAAAAGGCATTGCCAAGCTTATTGTGTTTGTGAAGCACAATAGGCTGTGTGGATGTTTTTTTTCCCTTTTTTTTATTCGCAATGAACTGCAGTTGGATACATTTACTATCGAACTCACACAGTCATTCTCACTCGCTCTCCATTGTTGCCAGCAGTGTATTTTTAATAGGACCTCATTGAGCTTATCTCATTGTGGGTTTAGGTATACCATGTTAATCCCATTACGGTATCATATTCACACAAAAACACCCAAGTCTCTCAAGCCGCTTTCACAGCTCCGTCGACGTCTTTAACGAGTCGATCCTTAATAGCTATCATTAGCATTCAGGTCAGAATTATGACAGTAAATGTGCCACCCTAGACCAGAGTTTGAGTTCATCAGTTTCACTCACTTAAAAGGAAAGAACATCTTCCATAAGCACCAAGCATAGCTTTTGAAGCACATTTCAGAGTTGGGTCATTGGGTTTGCTCATATTCTTGTGGGATATTGCTTTGATTACAATCAGTGAAATTCAGAACGCTTCATACAGTGATATCATTGTCTTTGCAAGCAGAAATCATTTAAATAAGTATGCTTCAGAAGTGCACAGAGATAATCCAGTGTTATCTATAATTTACTGTGCCTTGTATTTGTAGTTTCAATAGATGGGTATGAGAAACTCACAAAGGAAATTTGCACTGCAGCTACGAAAATCAATAGACTGTGGATTAGACCGTGTGCATTTAATTGTAACACTGGAAGTTTACAATGCACTTCTCCAATGATACAGTGTTTTAATAGATTGTCTGATGTTGTTGGAGCTAAATCCTTCATCAGAGCATATATTTTATCTCATGCACAAATATTTCCCTGCTGCGCTTGGCCCTTGTAACTACACTGCAAGAACAACACACCGAAGATTAACAGCACCTTGAAGTCTCAGGGCTATTGAATTAAAGCTTGGCCTTTACACAGCGTATTTTGAAATTTGTGTGAATAGCATGTGCAGTGAAAAGGAGGTTGTCTAATAAGGATTCATAATGCATAGAGTGATGGCACATAATGAACTGATAAGGGCTGTGCTGACATAGTAAGCGGTAAGTCATTAATTATGTCATAGTGCCTTTTCTTGGCAATGGCAAGCTCACATTATTGGTTCATTAAGCTGGCATGGATCAATGTAATTAATGCTATAAGTCATCCCTTTGCTGAAAAGAAAAGAGAGACAGTTTTGTGTGGGTATTTGACTTCAAAATTTCCAAAGTTGTAGTCAGAGGTCTGCAGTGTGTGGTGCACAGTGTCAGTCTAATTTAGGGCCAATTTAAACAAGGCAGTCAAATGAAGCCCACAATATTCGCTGAGAGCAGGGGGCATAGCATTATTTAACTGGGCACTTAACTATGAAGAGGAGCAACGTGGTACAACAAAAGCCATCTAAGTGACTCTAATTTTGCGTGCGCTGTTTTTATAGCTACTGTTTTTCTGGGCCGGTTTTATCTCAAAGAGACACACGAAAGGAAATGCGAATTAGGAACAAACAGGACATGAAGAAGAAGCGAGTAAAGTGGATATACGGTGGCCTCTGATCTATAGTTCAAATGATTTTAGAAGGTAAAATGTTAGAGTTGTGACTAAGTTAGTTACATTGTGGCAAACTTTTGCCAGAATGATGTTGATTTTCACAATACTCTGCTAGTCTGATGGCTTATTTCATGTCCAACACTGCAGTAAACCAACAGACCTGTAGTCTCAGGAAGCCATTGTCTCCCAGCACAGCGGACAGCTATTTGTCAGCACACTTTGACAGTTCACTCAAGTTGAGTTTAAAATGTTGGTAATTGGTAAACCTGTCTGCTTGGCTTCCACAGCTCTCAAGTCTTCTAGCTCAGTTCATTTCAGCACTACATTAATTGTTGCTGTGAGTGTTGCATTAACAGCACTGTCACTGTGGCTAATACAACTGAAGGAAAAATAAAAAAGCTTTTACTAAACCTCGACTACATGTGTCACCCCCCGATCAAACATCTCTCACATCTACACAATCTTCTTCAGTGATTTGCTACAGTCTCAGCCTCTTCATTACTTTTACATCTACACAGCACAACTCTATGTATAGCAA